CTCACTATAAATCACAATATCGTCTAAGTAAACAACTACAAAGACATTGATGTACTCATGAAAAACATCATTCATTAAATTGTAGAAAATTGTCGTGGCATTGGTGAGCCCAAACAACATTACAAGAAACTCAAAAGATCCACAGCGCGCCATACACACAGTCTTAGACTCATCTCCCTCTGCAATCCTCATCCTAAGATCCACCTTCGTGTAGAAGGTTGCCTTGGACAGTTTGTCGAACAGATCAGCAACATTGAGAACAGGATACTTGTTCTTAATTATTACCTTGTTCAAGGCTCGATAGTCAATACACATACACAGCGAACCATCTTGCTTCTTCTAGAACAAAACAGGGGCTCCATATGACACCTTAGATGGCTTCATACTACCAGAATCTAGCAATTCATTCAACTATTTCCTTAATTCTGTTAACTCCATCGGCGACATCCAGTAAGGGGCACAGGCTAGAGGCTTAGCACCAGGCTCCAACTCGATCTTGGGGTCAATTACTCGTTTGGCCTGAAGGCTTTTGGGGAGTTATAGGGGCATAACATCAGCAAATTTCCCCAAGACACCTGCCACTGCATTAGGCACTTCAACCAGTACATCTGGTTTGATCTTCACCAAAGTTGCGAGGTATGTCATCTCGCCCTTCTTCAACCCAGCTTTCACTTGCACGGCGGACAGCATCTCCATCTTCCGCTTTCCTTCTTTCTTGCTTTGGTCTGCCATGACTGCAAGCACAAAGCAAGGTGTTTTCTCATCTGTAATCAGCACTCCGTTCAAGTGTGGCATCAGTGCCACCTTCGCCTTGATAAAGAACTCATTCCCTAAGATGACATCAAAGTTATCCAAGGGCACAGCCATCAAACTCACTTAGCCTTCCCACAAACCCACTTTTAGGCATATTTCTATCATGCCACGCACCGGCATTGCTTCAGAGTTTACCGCCTTGAGTTTGCTAGCATTTTCAAACAACTACTAGTCGAATTTTCCCACCTCTCTCTGGGCAACGAAATTGTGGGTGACTCCAGTATCCACCATGACCAAAATTTCTTGCCATTCACCCAAGCCAGCACAAACATGAGGCCTTTACGGAGTTGCTGAACTTTGCCCACGGTAATTGCGTTCAGCAACTGGAAAGGGTTAACTCAGGTGGGGCAGACATCCCCACTTGCAGCAATGAGGGCATTCAACTTCTCCCTTTTGGGACAGTCTTTGACACGACGGGGGCCACTGCAGAGAAAACAGCCAAAATCAAAGACTTTTTTCTTCTGGCTATTGTCTAGCTTGTTAGAGTTATCAACGTTCTTCTTTATCTTCCAATCCGCTTTCTTTGCATCTTTGGAAATGTCAGCCTTATCTTTTCTGCCGCCGCCATCCTTCTTTTTCTTCTCAGAAGGCCCTTGACTACTGCCCATTTTGAAGTCAACAAGGCTGTCTGCCGCAGCAATGGCAGTGGGCAGATCACGTACCCCTGCGTCCGCAACTTGGCCTGTGCCCAACCTTGCAGTTCGGACATGAAGTTGAAGAGTTTGTCTTCCTCTGACATGTTTTTAATGTCCAGCATCAACGAACTAAACTCCTTCACGTAATCATGAATAGTTCCGGTATGTTTTAACTTTTTGAATGAATCCCTAGCAATCCAGGTCGTATTGCTAAGGAGGAATTGATCCTTCAATTCCTTTTTCAGGGTCTCCCATGTCTCGATATTTGGACATCCAGCAGATGCATCGTCCTCATTTCGGGTCCGCCACCATAACTTGGCGTCACCAGAGAGATACATACGAGTGATTATAACTTTTTCTCCAGCAAGCACATGGGCAGCTTTAATGTATTGCTCCACGTCCCACAAAAATTTCTCCAAATCTTTGGCGCTTCGATTACCTTTGAAGGCCTTTGGTTCTGGAATTTTGATTTTTGAAGATGTCTCACCCACTATAGGTCGAGAATTCATGGCCCTCTTTACCAGGGACATTTCGTCTTCAAGTTCCTTCAAATTGTTTTTGACAGTGTTTATGAGGGACAGAATGTCTTCCATCGTCATTGTAAGCTTCGCATCGGTGTTGGACACATAGCTATCAAGAGCCATCTATAAACCAGCAATCTGAATAGCATGATGTTCCATCTGCACAGCCACGCTAGTTGCAGCATCACTTTCAGGGGGACCAAAAAATCTTCAAGACAGGACACACGTTCTTGCAATTAGCAGCATTTCCACTAGCCATGGTCGCAAACTAAAGTTCTGATACCAATTGTCACAGGGTCAAATTTTTTACCAAATTTCTGTCTCGTAATGGCACTGAGATCCAACCCTCAGTCTCAGCCAAACACTTAAAATACTCACAGAAATGCACAGAGGAATAGAATTGGGACAGGCAAGTAACTCACACAACACACAAGCTTTACAAGTCAAAGGCCAAACCTTTCTTTCCCAGCAAAGTATAAGGAAACTCAGTCTTGCGTTTGCTTAAAAAATGTGTCCAACTCTCTTGGTTGCAATGCAAACCCAAACATGCCTATTTATAACATTCTAGGTGGCAGTTATAAGCTCAACCGCCTAGGCAACTGCATACAATGAAATCCGCCTACAAAGTCTACTGAGAATGGTTGACCACCTTCAGCCACTCTCTCTATTGTTGATCATGACAGAGGCAGTTGCAACTAGTTGCTGACCCAGCCAACAACTTCTCTGCATGCTGTGTGCACATAACAGAGATCGCCAGATGTTGTGCACCTATTAGCAACTGCATTGAATTGCCACTATCTACAGGGCACATGCCCAACGTCCTCACATGTTGTGCATGTGCCTTTCTCATGAGCCCTCAGCATCTTATTGTATTGCATTCGTGCCTAGCCATGGCCCAGCCCATGGCTTAGTCCTCCAAGCTAGTATTGCCCTATAATTTAAGCCACCTGACTACCTTGCTTGCATGTTGACTTGTGTCCACGTGCTCATGTGCATAGATTGCCTCCCTCAGCCATGCATAGGACTTCTGCCAATTTGGCTAAGGCGTGTGCTCCTTTGGATGAAGCTGCCCCATGCCAATGCCGCCAACGAGTTAAGGGGGTAACAACCCCGTCCAATAGGTTAGTCAAAATAGAGAACCTAAAACGCCTTGGTAAATCAAACGCAGAGATCATGGCCAACAGCACTAGTCACCGAGGCACCTGGAACCCTCAATGATGGGGTGATTTGATGTTGCCTATGTCTCTACTATTCCACCACAGGCTCTTAATAATGGCTAAGAATGGAAGAAGTTGGAGAACAATGAGCCAACACTTTAGCATTAAGCGCGGGAGATTGGTTCAAAAGGCAGCCCAGCCACCTCTCCCCCTACCCTACCTAACCGCCTACCTACTCGTGTTATTGAAAGCTTCAAAAAAAATAGTCTGCTAAGGTATCAAAACAGAGCTTTCGCCCTTCCGGTAATGAAGAGGGAAAGGGTGCCCTCATTTACCTCAAATATCTTAACATGGCATCACCACTAACCCTTAAAACATTTTATTTTATTTTTTAAATGGATTTATTGCAGAACTGTGCCACATATGACAAAAACCCAACATGGCACAAACTTGTGCATAACCCATAAAACAACACTGCCCCTTCTATAGGAGAAGAAATCCTAATCATCAAAAAATAAGGGGGGTGGAGTAAAGTGCAACAAAAATGTGAACCCACAAACCCCATTCTAGCCCACTAGACTCAAACTTTTCTAGTTGGGTTAAGCCAACTGCATGAGTGCACTTCCATTAAATATCAAAGAAACTAACGTAACTTTAAATAGCACATCAAAAAAATGAAGAAACAATGGTATTAATGGCTAGGCCCCATTCAAAATTCAAATGGTGAAATATTTCACCATGCCAGAAAATAAAAGTCAAATGACAACATGGGATGAATTTGGAATATTATTCACACTTTCCATTAGCTTGACACTCTAGCTTACAGATAATAACAACAGGTTATTTCTATCATTCCTACCATGCACCTTGTTGCCCAATCGCCGCACTAAACGGTTATCCATGTGGGATGACAGAAATCGCTAACAAATGTCCTTAAAACAAAAAGAAGAGACTATTTCTGATGTTCTTACTTGCTCCTTATTTGTACAAGGGGGAAGCTAAAATATGTTATCCACTAACAAACCATGGCAAACACTAGACAAGAAGTTAGAGAACCACATCCACAAATTGATCTGAACTAATTTCTCAATTCACAAACACCTCTTTCTCCTTTTTCTCTTTTTCGCCCAATCCTTAGAAATAGCACCAGGGGCGGAGCCAACATTCAAGTTTTTTTTTTTTGGGGGGGGGAGATATGAATAAAGAAATTCATCAAAGGGGCCCAATGTACGAGGCTCCCGTTCATGCGGGATTTGGGGAGAGTCAATACAAAAAAAATTGAAATCCAAACATGACAAGATTTATAAGATTTAATACTAAATTATTCGTTAAAACTAGTTTCTATTTATCCTAAATAAAATGTGAATAAAAAAGACACAAAAAATATTCAAAAAAATAGTCAGTATATATATATATCAATTATGACATTTCACATATTTTTTATTTAATCAAAAAATAGAACATTTGTTTTAGGAGGACAGTGGATTACTAACTTACAAAAAATTAAAAAACTTAGTTCACATTACCAATTTTCAAGAAATTAGGGGGGAAGCAAATTTAATAAATTGAACAACGTAATGGGTAATATGTAAAGGAGATTCAAAAGTCCGGGGGGGCAAGTGTAACGTAGCTCCGCCCCTGAATAGTACAAAGGCTGATATCATGACAAAAGACAAGTTTCAGGTATGAACCTTCAGCATATCTGAAGTAGGTATGACCACTGAAAGTGAGATTATTCTCAACCATGAATTGTATACAGCTCACAACCACAAATGACAGTTCGTGATAGATTTGCATCTTGCCACATAATGTTGTACTAAATACAGTATTATTAGTTTAGCAACGATAAATTTATCAAATACGAGTACTAAATCTCACATACGCGGGTGTAAACAGCTAAACCTAGCAACACAAGCAACCAGTAATCAGCCAGATCATAAGCATGATGTTTACCTATATAAGCATCCACATCAAAACAATTAGAATATTTAAAGCAGAAAATATACCTCGTTAGCACTGCAGCAGCAGCAGCTTTAAGAACAGGAACCTCATTTCCTCCACCCGGTTTTAGAAATGACCGACATATTAAAGAATTACATCTAGCAGATACAGGACTTACTGGCCCACGTAGACTGTTGAGAAGATGTAGACAACAAGCACCCTGTCGCTGGAGATGCAAATGCAAAAGTACTGATGGTTTCAACTTAACAATTAGTGCAACAGTTAAAAAAAACACACACATACAAGTACATGAATGATTGGCACTTACTTGGATTGACATCAACACTTGAAAGCATTCGTGTACAAGTACTTAAGTTGAAACATTCATGTACACTTAACGCAAAAGTACTCAAGTTGAAACCACTCATGTACACTTCAAACCACGACAAAAGGTTGTACAGATGCTTTAAGTGTAGAAGATGTAATGTCAATCCAGAAAAGTAATTGAAGTAGCCAATAGTATACATATGATCACCACTTAAAAGGAAAAAAATGAATGCAAAAAGAAAATACAAAATTCTTAATCTTAAGAGAAGCATACCGAAGAGCGTGATGACAGAGTAATGCTAAATGAATGTAATTGACTCTTTTCTATCCCACTCTGCAAATATGAAGAGGATCCAGAAAACGTAATAAGCAAATGGTAAAAAGCAACCACGTTATAAGAGAGGCAAAACATATACCTTAGGTTGGTTGTTATATAAATGAAAACTTTGAATTCCCAAATCACGGGGCCATAGCAATGAACTAGCAGCAGCCATTGTTGTTAAAAAGTGGAGATGCCACTGAAGGCCCAATGCCAAAAAATGTAGTTTACCACTGGCCCCTACATCGCAAAAAAAAAAAAAGCAGGAGAGAGCATATAAGTAAACTACAATTATAGTACTGCACTAACCCAGTAGAGGATAACAACTCAGTGCATCATAAGGCCATACAAGAACATCTCAACAACTACAAGTTCATATCCTTACCTCTGCAGCCTACAAAAAATTCAAGAACACCATAATTGGAGGTTAAAGCCACCGCAACTAGCATTTACCACCCACATTATTGAATAGAAACTGAGGTCCCATTGTTGTGGAGGAGATAAAAAACTGAAGAAAGGAATCACATCCTAGTAGTTTGAAGCCATTACAATTCCAATCATTATATGATAAGTTATGTATTGATGAATATGTCTGGTGTTATTAGCTAACAATTGCATTAACAGACAGAATGTTTCAGCATTGAAATTCTATTTAAGTTAGTACATATCTTAATTTTTTATTTTTTTTTTATAATTGACTCCTTTCAAAAGTATACCTAACCACAACATCTGATCAACACTACAGCTCAATCATGTGGATTTTCTCTCTTTAGAAGAAGAAAATTTTGAAGCCAACCAAACAGAAAGTATAATTCATATATATATAATCCAACATCTCCATTTTATCACAGCGTAGATCAAAATAAACTTCACAGAGCTTCAATAAAAACCCTAGGTTTCGAAATGCATAACAACACAGCCATGTACGCATCGTAAATTCAAGAAATGTGTTGAAATTGAAAGAAAAAATTACAGAGAACGAAACCAAATAATATAATTACCTTTGTATATGGAAATGACGGAGAATTTCGTCAATTTTGTGCTCTTTGCTTTCGTGGAACTGGTTTTTGTGAGAAGATGGAAGAGAGGAAAGAGGCTACGAAACAGAGGGGACGATGATAACTTGCGCAGCACGGTGTTGGGTTCCCACTGTTCCGTAGTCAAATCAAAGACCATTGTTTTGGATAATCAAACGATCAACATGTAGTGATCCCGACGTGGCGGGCGGAGATGGGTCTCTCTAACGTGCGCCGCGTTGATATTTCTCTTTCGCTTCACCGAGTCCCAACGGTGTGATTGAACATCGTTAACACGTTTTGTAATTCTGATTCCAAAATGGGTCGGGTTTGATATGGTCGTAATATGGGTTGGTTTGTCAGGTTCTTACTTCTTAACCCATACCCGGTTCAATTGATTCAAATTTTAATTAGTTTCTATGTCAACATCAAAGAATAAATTTATATAATAAAGTAACTTATAATTCAAATTTCAAAAATAAACAAAATGATTTTTATTATTCACAGTTGAAATCTTTTTAAATTTTACTTTAAAATTAATCTAACGGCTAATATTAAAACACCAAATTTAATAGAAAAAAATAGACCTCTAAGAGTGTGTTTTGAGTAATTTTTTAAAAATATTGTTTAATAATTATTTTTCATAAGTACTTTAAAAAAAAATATTATTTTAAAGCGCTCCACCACTACCTCTACCCCTACCACTGCCACCTCCCACCACCGCCACAGCCACTACCACCTTAACCTCCACCACCATCACCACCACCACCTCCACCTCTATCGCCACCATCGTCGTGGCTGTCGTCGTCGTTACCACCACCACCGCAGCCGCCACCACCCCCCACTATCGCCACTGTCACCACCATCACTACCTCCACCTCTACCTTCCACTGCCACTATCGTCGCCGCCACCTCTACCTCCACTATCACCCACCACCACCTCCACCTCTATCGCCACCATCGTCGTGGCTGTTGTCGTCGTTACCACCACCACCGTAGCCGCCACCACCTCCCACTATCGCCACTGTCACCACCATCGCTACCTCCACCTCTACCTTCCACTGCCACTGCCGTCGCCACCACCTCTACCTCCACTATCACCACCCATCACCACTGCCGCCACCACCCCTACCACTTTCTGCACCACCGCCTTGCCACCACCATTACCATCGCTATCGTCGTCATCATCATTGTCACCACAATTATTACTATTTCCTACCATCGCAACTACCGCCCATTATCTTTCACCCCCACTACAAACCAATACTTAAATTATTTTTTTTTTTTATGTTTACGATTTAATTTTGAATATGAATACAAATATATTTATTGTTTATCATTTTTTACTACTCTGTGTCTTCAGGCACAGGCAATAACTAATCTCTTTATATAATAAAATAACTTACAATTTAAATATCAAAAGATAAACAAAATGACTTTTAGTATTCGCGATTGAGATCACTTTAAATTTTACTTTAAAGTTAATCTAACGGTTAATATTAACACCCTAAATTTAATAAGAAAAATAGACCATTAAAGGTGTGTTTGAAGCGACTTTTTAAAAGTACTTTTATAAATTATTTGTCATAAATATTTTTTTTTAAAAAATAGTATTTGAAAACCGTCTCACCATTACCTCTACCACCATTGTTGCTGCCACCATCACCACTACCACCGCCGCCATCACCACCGCCATTCCCATCTCACTACCATCGCTACCAACGCCACGGCCATCGTCGTCGCCACCCCCACCATTGCCACCACCATCACTATCACAGTCGTTGTCACCTACTACAACCATCACCGTCTCCTACCACCACCACTACTGTCTCCCACAGCGTCTCACCCCCACTACAAATCGATGTTAAATTATTTTATTTCTTCTTTATGTTTGTGATTTAATTTTGGATACGAATACAAATATATTTATTATTTTTTATTTTTTATTACTCTGTATCTTCAGGCATAAACAATAACTAGTACTACTATAAAATATCAACAAAAGTGAAAAATTTTTGTTTGACTATATTAACTCTAATAATATAATTAATGTCTATACTATTCCTTTAGAGTTAATCATTACCCTTAAACAATTGTATAAAGTCATATTAGTGCAAAATTAATTACCATAGTTAATTACTAACAATGTATAAAGTGAGATTAGTGCCAACCTCAATAATGCAAATGAATTGTCAATGATGACAGTTGTGTTATGCTGCCCAAACCAATGCCTCTTACATCTCTCTCTATCCCTCTCTTGCCCATCCAACTAATGTATCAGTTACTCTTTAGTGGACGAACCAGTTGATCTTTCATGCCTTTGTTAACAGTTCAAAAACATCAACGAAGCAGGTAGGCAGTAAGAATTCAAAGCGATTTCGAGCAATTTGCATATAACGTCAATTTTTTCCTGATCCAACAACTGCTATTAAATCACTCATTTAACCTTTGACCGTATATTTCTGGTTTAGTTTATTTTCAACATTATATGTGTATATATATGTAGTCAAATGTTGAATTTGTCATGTGTGCTTATTTGGTGAGATTGGCAAACTAGGGAGGTGGACACATGAGCTTAACGACCAGGGGCTGCTGGAGGAATGGACTACTGAAGTTTCAAACACATAAGAGACAGAATGGTAAATGCTGCGCGTCATCCACTCTAATTAATAGGACTTAAGGTGCTTCTAGTTCCTTTTCTAAGGACTAGCAATGCACCACATGGGTTGGGTTCAACGTGAATAATTTTTTAAAAAAAAATTAATAAATAAATATTTGGTATTTGTGTATTCAAATTAAACATTTTCTCAAATTTACCAAACTTATTTTTTCATCTCTCATGCTCCGCTATAAAATTTTTGAAAACTTTGTATATTTTCAAGAATTTGTGTTCTAACTTTAAGAAAAGAAATAATTAAAGATCTATTAAAGAGATTTTTTTAGTGATGTTTGAAATTTAAATTTTTTAAAATTAATTTGATTAAGATTCCACTTATAAATTAATGAATAAAATAAAAATAATTATCAATATACTAATCATATTGGAACTTACTGTATTTAGGATTAGTTAGGTTAATTAAAATAAAATTTAATATACAACGGTGTAATATATATTGTAAAGCATATTAAAATTTTAAAAAAAATTAAACTTTCACATAAAATGTTAACACAATTTAAAAAGTTTACTGTTACTAATAAATCATGTAAAATTATGTATACATTATTTTTTATCTTAAAAATAAAATGGTTAAACATTTTGATGAAAAATAAAATATACATATATTAAATAATATGAGTAATATTATATTGATGAAATTTTTGAAAGTTTTTTTGAATATTTTGTTTAAACAAAAAATAATGCATATATTTTTTAAGAATAATATAATCAATTAAAAAGTTTCATAAAAATTGACATTTATAAATAGAGAATAGATAATTAGAAAATTAATTTAATTAAGATTTCACTTATAAATCATTGAATAAAATAAAAATAATTATCAATATACAAATCATATTATAATCTTACTGTATTTAGGATTATCTAGGTTATTTGGAATAAAGTTTAATATACAATGTTATAATATATATATATATATATATATATATATATATATTATAAAACATATTAATCTTTAAAAAAAAATTGAGGTTTTTATATAAAATCTTAACACAGTCTGAAAAGTTTACTATGACTAAAAAATTATATATATATATATATATATATATATATATATATATATATATATATATATATATATATATATATATATATATATATATATTATCTTAAAAATGAAAGGATTAAATATTTTGATGAAAAATAAAATATAAATATGTAGTCATAATATTATTTTTATAAATACGGTGAGTAATATTATATTGATGAAATTTTTGAAGATTTTTTTAAATATTTTTTAAAATTATAATGATGCATATATTTTTTAATATTTGTTAAAATTATAAGAGTAATATAATCAATCAAAAAGTTTCATAAAAATTGACATTTATACATAGGGATATTAGATGTAATTTGGAGACTTAAATGTATAATGATATGATAGTAATTTAGATATTAAGTGTATAAGGATAGGATGACCTTTTTCATTATTTATGAGGGTAAAATAGTGAATCATAACTTTTTTAAAATTAAAATACTTTTATTAGTAGTATAGATGCATGCATGCCACAACCAGTAGCTTCAATCCACTTATTCGATGTTAACCCTTTCTGATAGAATTTTGGTGCAGGTGTTTATGGACTGAGGCTTTCTCGCTTGTTGATAAAGTTCATATGGAGCACAATAGGGCGCTAGGGATAACATCATATCTTTTCTCTTGAAGCCGTGGTTTCATAATTTATTTTGTAGTAAATTTAAAATATTTTTCAAACCGAAGTAAAGTTTTAGTAAGAGTAGACTCATAAGAATTGTGTTTTTATATATTTTAATGACTTATATTTAACTTTTCAAATCTCACTAGATTTTAGATTGGTAAAGATTTTGCAATTATTCAACATATTATAAACAATAAAAATATAAGTTTTAAGTGATGATATTTAATTACCTACAAGTATGTTTTATTTTTACTCACGGGTGAACCCTTTCATATTTCCACATTGTAGGTCATAAACAAAGCTAACGTACGTTGCTATAGATCAGTCCCTGCTCTTCAACCCTTTTGGTTCACCAACTCATTTTTTTTTTTGGGAGAGAGAGAGAGGGAGAGAGGGGACTTGAACCCTTGATCTCAAGAAGACAAAGTGAGACAAAACTTTCATAATATAAGAAGTACTATTAGACTAAAGACCTATTAGTTTACCAGACTCATAAACTTCTCTCTCACCATGTGTTTACATATTGCCAAATCAATGGGCATTATTAACCATCTATAGTTTTGATTTAAAATTTAAAAAGGGAACACCAAAATTGTAATTCAATATAATGCCAATCCCATTTTATCCTCTGATTTACCTCTTAGGCATGTCTCATTGTAGGAGTAAATATTTTTTTTTTCCAATTAAACATCGAAAAAGCGAGGACTCACTTTATTGATAAATTGAGATAATATCTTGGGAGACTTAAAGCCTTGCCCCTAAATTCAAGCAAAATTACAAAGGAGTCTCGCAGTCTAACCCAGCTACGGCTGAGCCTTCTTCAAAAGG